CCAATGTGGCCCAATCGGGCTGTCCCTCTGGTATGCAAACATGGTCCATAACCTAGGGTGGTTCGCCAAGTAGCTAACGTACTCGTGCTCCACGTTAAGCATCCTGCAAAATCGACAAACATGGTTATGTGGAAATAATTGTCAATCTCAGCTCATTGGGAGGAAAAATTAATTCCCCCCACACTTATATTTCCACTACAGATCCATGCTAATCACAATAGTTAAGCACAAGCACACCGAGGCATGGTTCTAGGTGTTCACGGATTATCCCACACAAAATTAAACTCGAACCATGCCACGGTGGCTACCAACCACCACGTAAGCATAAACATTTCACATCATTCAAAAATTAGCACTTGGTGGGAAAATTTCACAAATAAAAGCAATTTGAATCAAAACATGCCCACCAAGGCTCAATTAAGCTCATGCAACATCATTCGACCATTCAATCACCCTAATTCACCTGATTCCTCGCCCTAATGCTAAGTTCAGCATTCAATTCACTAAAATTCTCCTCACTTCACTACCTTATCCGATTCTCCCAAAATAAATAAGGTAGAGTTGAAAACAAACCTGGAGACTCAAGTAGGAAGGGTACCGACGTGAGGAGAGGGTGAGGAAGGCGAAAATCGGCCGAAAACAGACCGGAGGTGGTCACCGGCGCGCCCGAAGCTTATCGGAGACCCGCCAGAGCCTCGCCGCCGGCGACCTCACCCAAAGAAAAATGCTCCAAATCGCCCCCAAAATCTCAGCGAAGGCCTCTTTTGATGAGGGGAGACTGGGTCTGGTCTTGGTTTTTGTTTAGCTCGCTGGAAGTGGATGAAATGAGCAAAAACCGTCGGATTTTCACGGTTTTTTACGAGATTTGAAAGATTCCGGCGAGATTTTGGGTCGTGAAGTGAACAAGACCGTTCACGGCCCTTTTATAGGCAGACCCTGCAGTTCACGAACGCATTTACCAGTTCACGAACGTTTTTGCCGATTGTGAATCCTTGTGGGATTTGTGTGAATGTTTATGTGTCATGTGTGACACCTTGTGACATTATGATATGTGTAATAGTATTAAATATATAGCTGATGAATCATTGTATTGATTACATACATGAGTACAAGCAAGTTTTAGTCAGCAAGGCTTGGTGTATAAAGTGATGATGATTTCTCATCAGTGAGAAGTAACATGTGATTCATCGCTCTATGTCTATGAGATTACAAGTTCATGAGATAAGACACTTTATGCCCATAAGTTTACAGATCCATGAGATTTGACACCATGTGCCTAAGAGATTACAAGTTTACGAGTTACTGATTTTTTATCCGGTTTAAAATTTATACAAGTTCACGAGATAAGGCACTCTATGCCCATTAATTTACAAATCCATGACATTTGACATCATGTGCTCAGTGGTGTAGCCAGGAATTTTGTTAAGATGGGTCCACGCTAATAAAAAAAAAACATTCATAACTCATACTAATATTTTACAATGATGGACAATATGTGTTCATATTTTGAGAAGTATGTAAAATACATTTATCATCCAAACTATCAAGATTGTCTCTCTCAATGTTACCAATCAAAAATTCATTCATGATTTCGTCACTCATTTTATTTCGAAGTGTGTTTTTCACCAGATTCATTGCAGAAAATGCTCTTTAAACACTTGTAGTGGCAACCAGTAGCAACAATGTCAATTTCAAAAGTCGATACACCAATGAAAACACTCGATGTTTTTTTACACAACGATTTTCCTAGATTGACATGACAAATTCGATAACAAAGACATGGATTGACTGGTGGTGGGTGCGATTTTCTGGTGGCCTTTGGTTGGAGAGGAAAATTCAACAGACGATATATATATTTTTTCGATGATTTCAATTAAGGGATTGGAAGCACACGAATAAATAATTTATTGTGGATCCTTCATTCTTTAACTCGCATTTAATTGGATAAAAAAAATTAAAATTTTATTGAAAACAAAGTCCTTCGGGTGGCTCAGCGTAGAAAAATTTGTGTAATAACCAAAAGAAACGAGGTTCGATTCCCAAGTGCAACGAAGTTCATATTTCTTTTGGCGATCCAAGATGGGTCCGGGGACCCACCTTCCTCTGAGCTAGCTCCACCACTGCATGTGCTTAAGAGATTACAAGTTTAAGAGTTACTGATATTTGATCAAAATTTAAAAGTTACACTAGCAACTTATCCATGCATGTGAACCGAAGTGTGATCCGTGATAGGAGCGGATCAAGTCAGTAACTTTTATGGTTAGTAACCATCAGTAACCTGTCCACATCCGCATGACGTCAGCATCCCCTATCTCTTGGAAAGTCTTTTATAATTTCTCCTTTAATCTTTAACGGACGATTTCTCTCTCGTTTTAAGTCGAAATTTAAATTTTTTTGAACAGATAAATCAGATCAAATGTACTTCTTAAAATGATATCCACTTTGATATATATTTAGTACAAAAAAAATTTAATTTTTTTACCAGTCATTACCATATGGTATGTTCATATTTCATACCATATGGTAAGAAAGCGTACCATGATGATATGAACATACCAATATGGTAAGAAGGTTGAATACATGATAGTAAGAGTATACTAACTGTCATTTACGACTTTCATCATTGTTTACCACAAGTTACCACCCACATACCATAGTGGTAAAGTATGGTAATTTTTGGTCCACTATTTTTTTCACCCATAAATTTGTAGATCCAATAGAACTTATGATGAACTCGTTCCTTCTGAGCAAATGTTTTAAAAAACGACTTAAAAATGAATAAGTTACCATATGGTATGTAGTTGGTAAAAAAAAGTTTCTCGAAATATATCAAAAATTGATCTCATTTTGTAGAGCACAACGAACTCGTTCCATGTGTGCAAAAAAAAAATTGAAATCCGAGTGAAAACGAAGAAGATAAGAGCCGATTATGAAAACTAGAGAAAATAAAATGTTTTTAATTGACAATCTTTAGATTTGGATTTTCTGGGGCCACTTAGATCTAAAAGTTCAAATTTAATTACTCATAGGTTAGTAACCAATCGTTACTGACTCTATCCTAAACCTCCGTGATGAGCTCGTATGGTCAACCTTCATGAGGTGTTCAAGTGATAGTCATTTATGATATGTTTCCATGATGACTAGTTATGACATTCTTGCATGGTGAACAACATGGTGGTTTAATGATGCTATAAATCATAATTGTGATAAATGGTGTGTGTCAGAATGTGCAAGAACCTATTGTTTTAATTACATGAATAAAACATGTGTTCTAAAGATAATTGGTGTTTTTACGCCATAGCCTATATTCGATGATAATTCTTGGGAAAGGGTTTGTATAACGAGTATATAGTAAAATAATGATATTTGTTCAAGAACTTAAACTGGAAGCCTAAGGGCAAACGAAGTAGTAAATATATTATGGTCCAATACTAATGTTCAACTTAGGGTTTTGTTAGGTTAGAGCATACTATTAAGTGACGTCTCACCTGTCAATATTTTTGCCTTCAAAGTCAATAATGTACAATGGTTTTTTTTATAAAAACCTATTTCTAGGGTTCTATCGGTAGTGTTGGGTGATTGGGAATTTAAGGATTTGGGACTAGGATTGGGGAATTGAGATTGAAATTGAGATTTTTGGGAGGAAAAGAGAAGAATGGTCGGCGACCTAGAGTAGTGGAGAAGACGAGATTGGCAGAAGAATATGGTTTAGGGAGAGATACTTTTTTTAATTCTTTCTTGATTGATTATAAATAAAACACCAAATACATATTTATAACGAAAGAGTGGAAAAACCAAATAGACTATCCTAATATGACTCAAAAACTACTAACCATATCTAATAAAATCCTAATAATATCAATAATAATTATTATGATAGAACCCGAAAATTGAATTTCTATCATCCCCTCCTTCTTGAGACCAACCTTGCCCTCAAGGTTGAAGGACTCAGCCCACTTCTCCACATCGTCCATGCAACTCTTCCATTGGTTCATCCATTTCTTGCGCTTCCTTTTCTTCCAATCAGGTTCAAGTACTCGATCACGACTCATAACCCAAGTAGCTCCAATGAAACGTCCTACTTCCACCAAACCCAACTCAACCCCTATCAATTCCTCACCCCCACCGGCTGGGATTTTCACTAATTGGGCCAATTCGTGGCCCAATTGTTCCATTAGAACTCGGCCCAACCCACACATAAGGATCAACGAATTCCCTTATTTGGGGATGCAATTGCTTCTCATCCATTTCCCTTCCCGGATTTCCAATCATAAAGCTCTTATTGACAAACTCCTCTCCAAGAATCTTCCTCCGGTAATGAAATTCCCAATCACTGTCTACCCATTTTTCTTCGGACCACATATGTCTTCCATAAGACCCAATTTAATTCATGGGTTCAAACTTCATTAGCAAAGCGTAGGTGTTGAGGCTAGCACCCATTCAAGTACAACCGCCTCCAAATCAGGCTTGTTCACTCCAGGCTGCTCACCCAAGCATACAAGACCATCCCATAACACCTAGCCTACTTCAATTGGCCCACTTAGTCTTGCTCTAGCAACCCTTCGACCCACTACCGTATTTTGCAGAGAGGCTTCGTGGGAGGAGAAAAGATGCAGCTGCCCTTGTTGAAGATTGGTACCACCGTCGATCTCCTCCTTAATCTCCGATGTTGCTTTCCCCGGCGGCGGCTGATCCAGCAAGCGACGAAAAGACCCTCTTTTCTCCATCTTGGTCGGTGAGCCTCTCACCAGCACATCCCCAGACTTCATCTCTTCTTCCCTCATCGGCGCGACGGAAACTGCTGCCAATCGCCGCATTTTGCGCGCAACCCAAAGCTCCGACGACTTCCTCTTCCGCGGCCACGCCGCTACCAACATCTTCATCGCTCCTTCCTTATTTGGCGGTGAGAAGGGCACCGGGCAGCAGGGAGTCGACTCTGGCGCCACACTTCTCTGCCTTCCTTCATCTTCGATCGAAGACTCGACGGAAACCATCATCAATCACCGCATCCCATCTGAAGGTTGCGTCAACGTCGACTCACCTCGGCGGTCCCTCTCTTGTTGTGTGTTGCATCGGCGGTCGAGGTCACCACTGAGCCTTGCTAGTGTCATCGCCGAGCTCCTGGCTTTCGCGATCTCGGCTGTGAAACCAGTCGCCGGTTGTAAAGCACTATTCGTGGTGGTGCCCTCGTCATCAACCGGTTTCTCTTGATGTAGCGCCGCCATCACGTTCGTGTTGCTTTCCGCACGATGTGCTTTCGAATTCTCTGGTTCCAGGCCTTCTCCTAACGGTTGCTTCTTCTTTCGAAATTTCCATCCGTCAATTGGAATTGACGGAGCTGGAGTTGACCTCAAAACCATCCTTGTCGCGGAGCTGGTCCGAACTCCACACTCTCGGTGGCTTTGGGGATTGTTGGCACTGATTGATGACGGAGTGACTGATTCTGCAAATACGACTGCAGCTGAGACAGCTGTGGTTGACGTTGTAGGCTGGTTAGCCTCTGCTGCCTTCTTATGAAATGATGCGTGCAACTGGGCAACGGTGGTGGTTTTCGCTACTGGTGGTGGTGGTGAAACCGCAACGGCGGTGGTAGATGGCTTGGGTTGACGAGGCAAGGGGACCCGTAATATCTCCTCTGTCGTCAGTCGCCTCTCTGATAACCACCGGTGCCACTCCGTGACTTTCTCAACGGTTGTAGTATCCAAAGCTAGAGCGAGTGCGCTCTTCCGGGCGGCGCTTCTTTCCCTTTGTTTCTGCATCTGCTCCAAGAGCCGGCTGATCGAATTATCCATTTATTCAAACACTAATCGCACTCCTTCTCTGGTTAAGGGTGGTGATAAACTCATCGTCGATATCAGGCTTTAGAATCCGTCCCTGGTTGAGAGTTATGACGAACTCGTTCTCGGAACCAGACACTGATACCAGATGATAGAAACCTATTTCTAGGGTTCTATCGATAGTGTTGGGTGATTAGGAATTTAAGGATTTTGGACTATAATTGGGGAATTGAGATTGAGAATTTGGGAAGGAAAAGAGAAGAATGGTTAGCGGCCTAGGGCAGTGGAGAAGACGAGATTGGGAGAAGAATATGGTTTAGGGAGAGATACTTTTCTTAATTCTTTCTTGATTGATTATGAATAAAACGGCTTAGGATAGGGTTAGTGAACCAATGGTTACTGACCTATGAGTAACTAAATCAGGATCTTTAGATCTAAGTGGGTCCAGAAATTCAGATCTAAGGGTTGTCAATTAAAGGCATTTTATTTTCACTAGTTTTCTTAATCGGCTCTTATCTTCTTCGTTCTAGCTCGGATTTCAATTTTTTTTTTTGCATAGATGGAACGATTTTGTTGTGCTCTACAAATTGAGATCAATTTTCAATATATTTCGAGGAACTTTTTTTTACCAACTACATATTATATGGTAACTTCTTCGTTTTTAAGTCGTTTTAGAAGACGTTTGCTCAGAAGGAATGAGTTCATCATAATCTATTGGATCTATAAATTTCTGGGTGAAAAAAATACTGGATAAAAAATTATCATACTTTACCACTATGGTATGTGGGTGGTAACTTGTAGTAAACAATGATGAAAGTCGTCAATGATAGTTAGTATACTCTTACTAACATGCATTCAACTTTCTTACCATATTGGTATGTTCATACCATCATGGTACGCTTTCTTACCATATGGTATTAAAAAGGAGCATACCATATGGTAATGACTGGTAACAAATTATTCAATTTTTTTGTACTAAAAATATATCAACGTGGATATCATTTTAAAGAGCACATTTAATCTGATCTATCTGTGCAAAAAAAAATTCAACTTAAAACGAGAGAGAAATCGTCCATTAAAGATTGAAAGAGATAAGATAAAAGACTTTCCAGGAGAGAGAGGATACTGATGCCATGCTGATGTGGACATGTTACTCATAGTTACTGACCATAGAGGTACTGACCTGATCCGTTCCCGAATAAAACACCAAATACATATTTATAAGGAAAGAGTGAAAAAACTTATCAAACTATCCTAGTATGACTCAAAAACTACTAACCATATCTAATAAAATCCTAAATATTATGATAGAAACCTAAAATTTGGGTTTCTATCAGTTTTCAATCATACTAGTCAAAGCAGCCAGATAGTTGAGAGGTGGACGACGGGACAAGACTCTCCACTTGTTTCGCATACATTAGGTACTCATGAGAAATTACTATTGCTCTCTAACTACGCTTCTCACTAAATGTCTTAATAACGTAATGCAAACGATAGTTTCAGTTATTTTAAGGATTTAATTTCTAATGGGATCCAAGAAAACTTTCGAAAGTTCAGGGAGGTTAATCCGTGAAACTAAAATCCATGATTAAGTACGTAGTTTCAATTCAATGACCCAAATAAGTTTTGAATATTTGTGTTGTTAAATCTAGGTTAAGAAATATTTTCAAGGGTTTCATGAGTTTGTATGGATTTTTATATGATTTGTAAGAAAATTTCATTCATTTAACTAATTTGCATGTTTCAACCTAATTTCCAATATTTAAGATAGCTTATATGATAAGAAGAATCGAAAGTTACGTAGGATGTTTCATTAACGGTTTACCGAGAACCTACTAAATGGTTCTGATTGTAATCAAACCGAACCGATTGCTAATCCTAGAAGTGTTAGTGTTTGTTTAATGTATTTGTAATGATTTCTTGTTTTATTTTTGTATTGGTATTAGTTCGCCTGAACAAAGACAAAGAAAGATTGAGAAAAGGAAGATAGAGAGAGAATTTTTTTTTAGGGTTATAGCCTTATAGGTATAATATGCTCCTCTACTATGATATTTTATCAAACATGCCCGTTTTACTATTTTTTACATCAAACATGCCCATGTACTATGTAAAAATTATCAAACATGCACTTTTGTTAAAATTTTCATCCAAAAACCGTTAACCAACACCGAACTTTGGTTTGGGCAACACAAATGTCTAAAATATCCCTAATAATTTTACTTTAGATTTTTTTTGGTTCTTTTGTATAGCCAAATAATTTAAAAAAATTCACTCTGAAGAGACCCAGAGAAAAAAACAGGGGACAAAACTATTATTTTCCCTCCCATTTGCCGATGTCGGGTCGTCTAAATCTCGATTCAACCATGATTCACGATTTTTTCAATGAAAATTTAAGCATAAGGTCATGTTTGATAATTTTGTAAAGTACAAGAGTATGTTTGATGTAAAAAATAGTAGAAGAGCATGTTTGATAAAACGTCATAGTAGAGGGCATATTATACATATAACCCTTTTTTAATTCATATGTGTTTGTACCTTTCTAAAATTTAATTTAGTAAAAAAAATGTAAATAATTAATATTTTTTTCATACCTAATTTGCTGTTAGTAGCTATGGTTGCTACTAATACATGGTAATCGCCATAACGACCCTCATCTCAATGGTCTAAGACTATCTCCAATCCAAGCATGCAAATTTGGAGAAAGGGAGGTTTTTGGCTTTTTTCATCTCCAACCCACCAATTATTTGGCTTGCAAATTTGGAGAAGTGGGCTTGGGGGTGGATAGATAGAAGCTCATATGGAGAAATGCAAGGAGAAAGTGGGGGACCAACCATGGAACAAAAGCCCACACGCTGGGCCCCTCCACTTTCCAACATCTTCTTTTTCTTTTTCTTTTTTAACTTTCTTAATTTTTGATTGGTTGGTTATGAGTTGGGAAGGCAAATTTAGAAGGTTTAGAGTTGGAGCAAAAAAGTATTTTTGGAAGGTAAAAATGCATATTTGAGAGCTTGAGAGGCTAAATATAACCTTTTGGGTTGGAGTTAGTCTAAACGGGTTCGACAACCTTCTTTATAACTAACTAACTAACCTGCAACCGAGAAATGCCACAGTGGCAGGCCCTACTCACCTCACTTCACCAATCAGTCGTCTTACTCGCATACTGTCACTTAAAAGTTAAAACGAATATACCAACACTCAGACTCTCCCAATCCAATTCTGGGACTAACTCTACCTTCTTCAGTTCTTCCCTTTCCCGCTCTTCTGATCAGTCGCTCGCTATCAATCAGGCTCTAAATCCCAATTTCCAAAATTGATCAACCTAGGGTTCGCAATTCCATCGCCTTCCCATTCCCCTTGTCTCTTCCAAAATGCAATTCATTCTAGTGCTCCCACTGGGGTTTCGCTGAAAGATGCCGTCTTTCTTGAAATCGCCTCTCCTCTTGCTCGCTTCCTGCCTAGCGTTGCTGTCCTGCAGCTGCTGCAATGGCCGCATCTTCAGCTTCGAGATGCACCACCGCTACTCCGAGACCTACAAGAACTGGTCGACACACCGGAGAACCGTCCGGTTCCCTCTTGAGAACTGGCCGCAAGAAGGAAGCTTCGAGTACTACGCTGCGCTGGCACGTCGCGACCAATTCCTTCGTGGACGCCGGCTCTTTGGGAATGCGGACGACGCCCCGCTAGCTTTCGCTGATGGGAACTCCACTTTTCGGATTAGCTCCTTGGGTTTGTACGTCATATTTTCACCTGTTGATTCTTTTTTCCGATGAATTCCTCCTCGCAATTCCGCATTCTTGCATTCCGGTTCTTTTCCCTCAGAGTTTACCCTTTCTTTTGCTCCCTTGCGCGTAATACTTGGGGCTTTCTTGGTGATGTAGTTTCTGTTTTGTGGTGCTCTATTTTTCCTGTTTAGTTTACATTATACGACGGTGGAATTGGGGACGCCTGGAGTGAAGTTCATGGTGGCCCTAGACACGGGGAGTGACTTGTTCTGGGTGCCTTGTGAGTGTAGCAGATGCGCACCTACTGAAGGATCTGCTTATGCTTCTGTATACGCGCTTATCCCTCCATTTTCCATTTTCTCTATTTTGCTAGTTAGGACAGCAGTAATGTCGCTGGTGTCAAGAAATTGCGGGGCCGATGAAATTGCGACGGGATTATTTATGAAACTAAAGAGATTAGCTGAACAGACACTTTAGGCGACGTTATTGATTATACCCTGGTGTTTGTTTGACGCCAGGATTTTGAATTCAACATTTACAATCCCAGTGAATCATCAACGAGCAAAAGGGTTACTTGCAACAATGACTTCTGCACTCACCGCAGTCGCTGCCTTGGGGCTTTCAGCAATTGCCCTTACACGGTCTCTTATGTTTCCGCTAAAACATCCACTTCAGGAATCTTGGTACAGGATGTTTTGCACTTAACTTCGAAAGGAAGTTCTGCAGATGTTGTTGAGGCAACAGTTACTTTTGGGTGTGTTTCTCCTTTTCCAAAATTATCAGCAAATCCAGTATTTTCCTGCTGCCTTGTTGTGGCATCGTCATGAATTTCTGTCTTATGGGGCTGGATCATAGTTGAAATGATTTTTGGTATTCTGCAGTTGTGGACAGGTCCAGAGTGGCTCATTTCTGGATATTGCAGCTCCTAATGGTTTACTTGGGCTTGGCATGGAGAGAATTTCTGTTCCTAGTACTTTATCCAGGGAAGGGCTAACTGCAGATTCTTTTTCAATGTGCTTTGGGAGTGATGGTGTTGGAAGGATCAATTTTGGGGACAAGGGTAGTCCTGACCAGGAGGAAACTCCATTTAATCTCAACCCATCACAGTAAGTGGTAATCTCTCGTCTTTTAATTAGCACCAATTGCTTCTTTGTCTGTCTGGCTTTGAATGTGATGTGCTCCTTTTGTTACCAATGTCTGGAAATGTTTTGCAGCCCAACATATAATATCACTGTGACTCGGGTTAGAGTAGGAACAACCTTAATAGATGCAGATATCACAGCTCTTTTTGATTCTGGGACCTCCTTTACTTACTTAGTCAACCCAATCTACACAAGAATCTCAGAGAGTGTAAGTATTACAATTGGGAAAGACAATTTTGAATATTTATCTCATGAACCATGTCAAACAGGAAGTTGTTTTGGTCCTCTGCAGTTCCATTCACAAGCACGAGATAGCCGACGCCAGCCTGACTCTAGGATCCCATTTGAGTATTGCTATAATATGAGGTTAGTGATGGAGTATTGTTGTTTTTGTAAGTAGCTCTCTTTTGTCATGCTCTACCCTCTTTAACTGTACTTGGTTATTGTTTTTCTTCCAAGTGATGGACAGTCCCGATGCAAACGCTAGCTTGATACCAAGTATGACTCTGACCGTCAAAGGAGGCAACCATTTTGCTGTCTATGACCCAATAATTGTCATCTCCACTCAGGTAATCAATATATATTTTTGTCCTTCGTTTGGTACTCTACCAGTTTTCCTCAATGGTCCCTCACAATGAACAGCAAAGCCTTTGATTATGGACTTCAATTTTCAGGGTCAACTTGTATACTGCCTGGCTATTGTAAAGAGTGTGGAGCTCAATATAATTGGACGTAAGTATTGCTCGCACGCCAAGACTCCAAGTCATCTCTATCTTTTGAGTGCACCTGTGGTTGAGTTCGTTGCTCTGTGTAGCCTAGAGATTGGGAGAACGTTTCTCAGAAGTCCCCTGACATGCAAGTTATCTTGATTCTCACTTGTGCAGAGAACTTCATGACAGGGTACCGTATAGTGTTTGATAGAGAAAGACTTATGCTGGGGTGGAAGAAATTCAATTGTAAGTGTTCTTCATCTCTGCCTTTCTGAAATCGAAGACAGTAACCAAACAGTTATTATATAATTACAATTACAGGTTATGATGTTGAGGAGTACAGCAAAGTCCCTGTAGAGCCATTGATGGTTCCCCCCTCTGACGTTGGTGGCGCTGGATCTCACAACAACTTGACCACTGAAGAAGATGATGAGGAAACAAGGCAAGAGGGCACTGATAACCTTGATACCTCCATTACATCATCATCGCATCAGTGTGTTATAATCACATCAGCCACAAAACAAGTGATTTTGTTGCTCTTGTTGTTGCATTTATGGTGATTTCTTTTTCTTCCTCAGCCTGATGATGTGGTGACTTTGGTCAGTCAAGTCAACCGCGGTTCATTTATGAGAACAGGACAAGGGCCATGCTTATAAGAGGCATACGTACATACCGTGTTGTTCAGTTCATAGGGAGACAGTAGGAACTGATACGAGAGGTGGCGGATCCATTCTTCTTGCCTCCAGATCTTGTGTTTTTGTGTATGGAGAACTATGGAATGTAGAAATTGCATCCATTTCTCTCAGCTTTGTTCTTTTTGATAGGCCACTCACTGGCCTGCCAATTCTTCCTCTTTGTCATCGATACTGACATGCGCTAGTGTAGTATAGGGCAAAAGTTTCACTCTTATGAGTAGTAAAAATAGCAGAAACTCAACGATACAATTCATTTGTAGCATTGCAGTTAAAACTTCATCTTGATCCTTTCCAATATCCGGCAAAGCAACAAGGTCACTTTTGTTTGGAAATTGTTCACATATACTATTTTCTTGCAATACAAACAAACACATAAGATTAAGAAAACATGCAAACACAAATGCAAGCGTCATAGCCAATAGAATTTACTATATCTCCTTAAAGAATCTTATTCTCCTCTAGTACCCAAGGTTATGGAATGATTCCTCCCAGGATAGACAGGACGTACCTTTTCCGGCGTAGCGGTACCTCAAACCCCAGAACCCATCGAACCGGTGAGAACCACACTTGACTCTATTTTCTCTTTGAAAATAATGCAAAAAACTAGTTTTGGATTTTGGCAGAATTTTGAAAAAAATCCCAAAGTACACTAGTAATTAAAAAAAAATTCCCGAAATACATAAGTTATAAAAAATTTTCTCAAAATACACATGTTTCACATTCACCGTTTTTTGTCTAACGCAGTTAACATAATCACCGCATCAAACCAACACGGTGAACAATTCACCGTTTTTATTTAAAACGATGATGTATTCACCGTGGTTAAGCAAAACGGTGAATAACGAGGGAACCATTCACCGCCTTAAACGAAAACGTTGAAGACATCACTGTTTTAATAGAACACGGTGAAATATTCACCGTATCAATCGGCCACGATGAAAGCGACGCGGATCGCTGACGTGGCCGTTGGATGTGGTGAGGCGCGGATTTTGGTTTTCTTCCCAGATCCGACGCCTCACAGCGTCCCACGTCACTCGATCCGCGCCCTTCACCGTCTTCGATAAAGGCAGTTTATTCACTGCCTTTGCGATCCTCACCGGGCTGCCAATTTCTGGAGAGGTCATCATTGGTACCACTACCAAACCCGAAGGAGGTTGGGGGCCGCTGATTCTTGCTGAATTGGGATTTGACATGCCGACCACCTCACCAATTCAAGGACGGGGGCATCCACCGTTGAATGCAGGACAAGTGTCGGTCCCGTGGCTCGTAACTCACATCCAAAATGAGGTGGAAATCAATGACGAGACTCCGGAAGATCAAGTGGAGCGCTATGCACGCATCTACCTCATTGGTTTGGTGGGTGGATTTCTGTTCCCCGACAAATCAAACAGGTAGATCCAAGGCATATGGTTGCCATTGCTCACTGGTGACTAGGACGCCATCGGGGAAAAGAGTTGGGGATCGGCCGTGTTAGCTGGCATATATAAGGAGCTTTGTACTTGCTCGAAGGTGGGAGCGAGACAAGCTGGTGGGGCAATGTTCATCCTCCAGCTCTGGGTTTGGGAGCATCTTCCAATGTTCGCACCTCAAGACCCACGTCCATACTGGAGAGGAGATGATGAGCTAAAAATGTGCAAAATCTCCCCTATGGTGTCAAGTAAGTTTATTCTGTACTTAGCTATATTAAAATTTATTCAATGCTTAGGTATATTTAAATTACATTTATTCTCTACTTAGCATAATTGCAAATTTATTCCAATTAGCTAGATTTAAATTACTACCTTTGAACGAAGACGTCATGTACTATCGCATGACCAGATAGCTCCCTCCCTATAGCTAGCTGAAGCCGAGCCACCCGCCACTCGTTGACCTTCCAGTATTACATCTCCACTATGACATAAACAGGCATTGCTCGAAGGCCCTTGTACACATTATTTATACGTTCTCCATGGTTGGTAGTTGCAATGCCCCATCTGGCCCCGTTGTCCATATGGAATGTCCACATGGCCAACTCTTGACCTTCAGCCCATACTGCTCCAGCTCGCTGGGTCTGACAGATCGTCTTCATCTTCTGCTCGTACTTTTTTGGTTGATGTGCAACCGCTGCAAGGTGAACAAAATCAAACTGGTCAATACATGATAAATAACAAATTATTAAATACATAGTTAACTGGCATTAAAGGACATTAGTACCTGCATTCCACAATTGATTTTTGATGTCTTTCTTCTTCCCAAATTTGTGCTGGAAATTGGCGAGCCAGTGTCGAATACACCAGCGCCATGTCCATCCCCACTCGTCAGGAAAAACACCCACGACATTCCTAATCCCCGCGTGTCGATCGAATATAATCATAATACCCTCACGCTGTGTCACGTGTTCGTGTAGTTGGTCAAAGAATCATGCCCAACTTAAACTGTTCTCCCCTTCCACTAATGCAAATGCAAGCGGGAAAATCCACCTGTTTCCATCAACGCCAGTGACAATGAGAAGAGTTCCTCTGTACTTCCCAGTAAGGAAAGTTCCATCAACCTAATTAAAAATTAGGATCTAATTAGTATGAAATTTACTTATCAGGAAAGAATACAACATTTCAAACAGAAATTAGTTATTAAAATACCTGAATAACTGGTATGCAGAACGCAAACCCGTCAATGCATGATTTGAAAGCCCAAAAAAGACGGTGAAACATCAACTTCTCATGTACTCGAACTTGATCCTCAGTGTATATACATTGTTGTATACTGGCATGAAAACAGTCTCAAGATTAGACTCCTCCATTGTGGCTATAAGTCTAGGGAGTAAAGCATACGAATCCTCCCAATCATCATACACCTCAGCCATGGCTTTCTGCTTTTCATGCCTTGCTTTTTTGTACCTTATCGTGCAAGAGTGTCGATCCTTCACCTCGGCCATGATAGCTTTGACCTTGATATCTGGTTGTGCTTCGATAAGGTGCTTAATAGTTCTCCCTACTTTCTTTGCTTTAAGTTGCCTGTGATCCTGGGAAAGTATGGACGAGGAGCAAGTGTGGTTGGTCTCAGCTTTTCGAATCACCCAGGTACCCTTTCTCTTCATATTTGCAGCCCGCAGTTGCCACATACAGCCCTCTGCATCATTCTTGCATATGTCATGTAATTGTTTACTGTCAGAATATATTACCTTCCACTCAAAATTGCGCCTCAAGGCCTCTTCGGTAAAAGCATCCTGCACAGCTTCCTTCGATGTGAACGTCATACCCACCTCCAAATTGGTCGTCGGATTATACACTGGCATAGGGACAAAGTCGGGGGCATCATTCTGACTATGTAAAAGTTGAGTTGGAACCTGTGTGTAGTATGGCGTCGGTGCCTCACGAAATGCCGCCTCGTCATCGGTATCGCCAGTATTTTCCTCCTCGCTCACTGATCTCAAGTCTTCATCAGTATCATCATCGCTCGAGTCGAATGGATAGCTCGGGCCAGAAGGATCAACATGACCACCATCACCAACATCGTCTTCTCGCTCATGTGAAGTATGTCCTGATCGAATGGTATTCTCGATTTCAGCCCACTCTGTCCCCCAAGCAGGCCATTGAACTCCATCGGCCTCAACAAATGGGCAGGTTGATCCCGTTGCGAGTATTCTTCTGATGGCACCGATCTTGCACTACTATCTCCACCGTAGTTGCTTGAACTACCACTCTCTCCGTAACCTCCTGTATAACCACCTCCTTCATAGTTGCTCGAACTACCACCCCATACGTACCCTCCTGCAAAACCATCATCATAAGAATACTGGAGAGAATGAGTTTCACCGACCGCCTCGGTCTCAAAATACACCTATGCAAGCCGCATCCCATTATCGCTTAGGAACTGTAACATCATTGTAACCACGTCATCATCGTTTATGAAAACTTCTTGGTACACAACCCCGCCAGCACTCATGTTTGGATACCGGTAACTAATTTTACCAAGTCTCGTCTGTCCTCTTGTACAAACCCTGTCTGCACAATTATCACAGAGTTCTTGAAAATTGAATCGCGACTCAATTTTCAGCATGGTGGATTCACCGTCCTCATAATCAATCCCTATGTCAGACTTTGTCACCCTTCCATTCCACCGAATAATAAGCTGAAACTTCTTGAATTTACCCATATCTATAATTTACAATAAGTAACTATTAGCTTAATTCCAGTAAAATTAACCAAAACTATATTGTACGACTAATATTACTCCATCTCATAATTAATATACATATATTCAACTAACTAACACATCATAAATTCCCCAACTAACATAACATATTTGCTACGATAAGTAATTCATATAACAATATAACTACTAAAAACATCATGAGGCTACAATACAAAAATTAAATCATACAAAAAATTCATGTTCTGTGTATGTTGCTCGTTTTGGTTGCTTAAATTTGAAGAGGGAGAGGGGTTACGTTTTTACAACTGCTGGTGGGAGTAGTATTTATAAGACAATCGGCCAGCATTCACCGCGTTTGTCTCCAACGGTGAATACTATCACCGCGTTGCCCTAAGGCGGTGAATATTAGGTGGTTGTGACCTAATTTTCACCTATCAGGGATGGGAAACGTGGGAAGCAATCACCGCCGTAACCTAGGGCGGTGAAGTTATTCCCCGCTTTGCCCTAAAACGGTGACTTATTCACCGTTTTCAACAAATACGGTGAACTCTTCACCGTTTACTTTTAACGCGGTGAGTTATTTACCGTTTTTCTTAACCACGGTGAATACGTCATCGTTTTAAATTAAAACGGTGAATTGTTCACCGTGTTGGTCTGACGCGGTGATTATGTTCACTGCGTTAGACAAAAACGGTGAATGTGAAACATGTGTATTTTGGGAATTTTTTCATAACTTATGTATCTTGGGAATTTTTTTTAAGTACTAGTGTACTTTGACATTTTTTCTTAGAATTTTTGTACGGGGAAAAAACATTTTATCTCGTTGTCAAAACTAGAGGGGGTATGGTGCTATATATAGAAAATGAAGGGGTGCATGTGAAGGGAGGCAACTCTTCATATGGGTGGTTACACCCCAACCAACGCATTGGTTCGTTTTAAAATAATGACCAATTGCATCGGTTCGGCCCATGGTAGATAGAACGGTTTGGTTATTCCAATCGCCTCATCGGTTCGATTCGATTTGGTCCGGTTGGTTACACAAACCAATATTACCGATTACCAACATATTACATCAAATCGACCGAATTCGCGGCCATGCCTTCCA